ACTGGGCTGAAGATCAGTCTATGTCATTATTAGTCATTGACCTGAGGCAAATATGCACTTATTGTCAGAGGGTTTTTTTTCTTTTTCTTTTCAGTTCAGTTTTAAGGATGCAAGAAAACCACCTCCAGGGGTGGAACACCCATAGAACTGTGCCAAGATAAACAGTTTGAAATTCAGGCCTAGAAAATAGTTTCATTAGTTATCCTTTCAGCTGTAAAATTAAGGCAAGACAAGATAGAAACATATTCATCACTGCAAATGAGACCGGGTGATGGAGTCATGGGGAAGAACCTTGTCTTTCAGTGACTTGGGGGGCCAATCCTGTTATGAAGATATGGTGGGTGCAGGCTAAGATGATTAGCTTACACTAAACTACAGTCACCAGCCAAAGGGTGTCAAAATCATTCCAGCAAGTTTAAATCAACTTGTTTTTCAAAAAGAGCAGAATCTGATTTACACTCTCTTGTTTTGGTGTTTTTCGTAGATTTCAGAAATTCACTTCAAGGAGATACAAGGACACTGTACCAACGCCCAGCAAACAGAATAACAGGAAGTTCAGTCAGAGAAACAAGACTTCCCAATCTTCGACCTCAAGACTATCGAGACATTTCATGAACTACATTCTGAGCTACAAAGGTCACAATTACAGTAAATAAGGTACATGACTGTCACAGTCTTCAGCCGGTGTGCCCAGGAGGGCCACCAGATGACTGTGTTCTGGGAGCACATGGCTTGTGTTGTGTTTGTCTGTTGCCATGTGCTCTCTCCTGTCTATTGTCTGGCCCCTCCCATCTTGTTACCTCGTTATTGTTTTAGTTGCTCCACCTGTGTCTCCCTCGTTAGCCTCCTCGTTTGGTTCCTATTTATTCTCCTTGTGTCTGCCGTCCTGTGCTGATCCGTCATTTCTCATTGTGTGTGTTTCGTGTCTGCATGTGTGCAGCTTTAGCTCTGCCTGTCTGTTTTTCCCCCTCGGGGTGGTTTGAGTTTGTTTTTGTTTCATTTTTTTATGACTAAAATAAAGTACCATTTCTCCAGCGATTGAGTCCTCGCTTCATCTCCCCGCACGCACCGTGACAGA